CTCTCTCTCTCTCTCTCTCTCTCTCTCTCTTTTTTTTTTTTTTTTAATATCCAAAACATATAGCTTTAAAAAAAGTCTTTTAGAATTCTTGTCTTCACCGTGTCTCTGCCTTGTGACAGAAACGACGAGCTGGTTTCTGCCCGAGGTGTTCTTGGTGTACACAAGGCTGGAACCTGCGCTGTGAGCCCAAGGGCGGCAGCCGGGGCAGCGTGGGTGCTGCCAGCTCCTAGGGTGAGAAGTTTCGGCCCCACGTTGCTGCTTCTGGTGTTTGCGCAGCTGCCAGCTTGTCTGGTTGCGCGGCTGTTGTCACTCGGCCCGACTAACAGTGCTGGCTCACACCGTGGTGGATTCAAACTGGACAGCTGGAGTTGTCCACAATTAAGGTTTAAGGATTTAAACAGGATAGCTGAAGTGCTTACCACCCTTGCCTTACTACTTCTCAGAGATTTCAGTGTTCTCACCGGCTGAATGGCTTGTGGAGCAACTTCCAGAGTTTTCAGTCTGACCTCTGGAAGTCAGCTGTTGAAGAATCTTAGCATTCTTTAATATTCTGTTGCAAAAAAATGTAAGGGTGTGTTACTCAGAGTACTTTTTGCCATGGTCAAAGTGGGTTGGAGGTTTGAGTGGTAATTGCTTCTTCAGCCACGTGATGAGCCTACTACCGGTTGAGTCAGAATCCGATTCTTGATGTAAATAACTTGAGATAATATGGCTGTGTTTATCATCTTCTAGCTCCCAATCAAATGTGTAGTTTCTCTTGTTTCACAGTTTCACAGTACAAGTATTTTTGTTCACATTTTTTTTTTTTGCTTGAGGGAATTTTGGGTAGAGTTAGGTTTTAAATGCAACACTTTCCTATTATCGCTACTAGAGCATTTAGCTCTAGTTCTAAGTTCAGGTGTTACCTGTAGTGATAAGCGAAAGATAGTTTATACACTGAAGTCAGCGCAGCCTCTTGAAAATGAACCAAAATGGCAGATTAAAGCATGCAGAATTATTGGTACCAGTAACTAAAAAAATTGAGATTACTCTTGCTTTCCAGAATGTTACTTGTTTACACCTATGCCTAAAGGAATTTTGATGGCTGCCTTAATACATCTTTCTCAGCATTGCTGGAAAACACTTTGTTATTTTAATTTCAGCTAAATTATTGCTGTATGGAAGGGCAAGGGGGAAGTATGATTCCTGAATCCAGGTCCTGAATTACTGAATTTAGTTGTTCTTGACTCACAATTCATGCTACTTTTCAGATAGCTGAGATTTGGCTTTTCGTGAATGGCATGCATGGATATCTGGCTTCTCTCTCTCTGAGCTGTAAGGCTCAGTTGCTGAGAGGTAAGGTGCTGTGCACAGGGACAGTATTACACTTCAGGGTTCTGTCAGCTAGCCACAATTCTTTAAGTCTCTGAAGCTGATCCTGTTAGTTCAGGAACCACAGTCTTTCACATCTGGCTGGTGGGAGTATCTGCCCAAATGGGTGGGCTTGCCCGTGCTTTGCTGTGCTTAGGATTCAGTAAGGAGAAGATACAGCAATCTTGATCACTCCATGGCACAAGATGGTTTTAATCAGCTATGAAAGGTAGTGGTTTGTGGATCAGCATGTGCCATTTTAAATAGCTGAGTAATGGTGTCTCAAAGCTGTTTCTTCAGTCACTTCTTGTGGGGGATGTAAATGGAATATTTTACCCGAATATGGTTATATGTTCTTACCAAAAATAAAAAGTATGTTATACTACCATGAATTGCAGTCCTTTGAGTTTTGAAATTAAAATTCTAGCCTTTTTTTTTTTTTTTCTCCAAAGGAAGAATGCTATAGGAATAATTTTGGAGTAATTATTTGAAAAGGGTTGGTGCACTTAAAAAAATAAAAAAATCACAGATTCCTATAGGTTGGAATGTACTTCTGGAGATCATCTAACTCCAGCCCCCTACTCAAAGCAGCTTCAACAAGAGCATGATTCATAGGGCTGTGTACAGATTAGTTTTGAATGCCTCAAATAGGTAGATTTTACAGCCTCTGCAGACAATATGTTATAGTGCTTGACTGCCCTCATGGTTTTTAAAAAAATAAGGGAGGGGAGAAATTCCTTGTATTTAGTTGGAATTTTGAATGTTTCAACTTCTATTTGTTGCATCTTGTCTGTGTACTGTTCAACCCTCAGAAGAATTTGGCTCTGTCTTACCTACATCTTCTCGTTAGACATTTTTAGACAGTGGTAAGGTCCTGCCAGAGCACTCTGAAGGCTGAACAAACACAGTTCTCTGTCTCTCCTAATGCATCATGTGCTCTGCTTGGCAGCTCTCCACTGGACTCACTTGGGTATGTCAATGTCTATCTTCACTGGAGAGCCTAAAACTGGACTTGAGACTTGATCAAGTCACAGAGAATTTGAGAGGAAAATTGCTGATTCAGTGTCACGTTGGGCTGCTGACAAAAGTTCCCACTTCTTCTCCCAGAGGTACTCCTCATTCAGCTTCCTTTGCATAAAATCTCACAATCATGCAGCCACCAGTTGTGACAGTTAGCCACTGATATAATGGAAGCATCACCCAGATGTAAAGCTGAATAACTTTCTCCTGTCCAGGTTACTCTTCTGATTTCCCTAAGGCCATATGCTTGCTAGATGATATGTAAGTGTGTGGGATCTGGAGTTATATCAGGTATAGGGTAATATGAAACTGTATCCTAAGATTCCTTGTGGAGACCTTTGAGTGAGCAAGAAAGGGATGACTTAAGTTGTCAGCAATGGGAGAAACAGTGGCGTTTCCACTGATGATACTGGTTATTCCTGTAAACACCCTCTGTATTAAAGCAGGAAGAGATGAAATGGATGAGAAAGTGGAAATAGTTTAGAGGAGGGTTTTTTTGGTTGTTGGATTTGTTAGGGTTTTTTTTAAGGATACAGTAGCATTATGTAAGTCAAACAGGAAAAGCTCTGCTATTACTGGAGTCCAACAAGAAAGACTCCTTAGAGGTGAGGAGAACTGAAATCACAGTGTCAGCTGAAGCAACAGAACAAAATTCTATATTTTCTATTAACATTTATATTTAGTTTCTGAGACCTACCTTTTAAACTGATGCTTTGGGTCAATAAATACCATGGAGATGTGAATTGTATTTCCTGTTTGTCCTGGGAAGGTGAAGGTTTGTTTAGAAGTGGTCAGAAAAATGAACTGTGACAGTCATATTCAGATCAATGCCAATTATCTTTCATTTTATGCGTATATTTACTGCTGAAATGCACGCCAGAGGGCAGTAAAGATATTTCAGCAATATGAATATTAAGAAACAAAATATATTTTCCTCTCTTCTTCAGGAGAAGATAGAACTTTTGTGTATCTCCCAAATGAAGCCCACCTGAAAGCTGTAGGTTAGTTCATGTGAAATTCTCATTCCCCAGAGGCGGTGTGACATTGAACAAGTCAATTTGTGCTATCTCTACAAAGGCATATCACTTGCCTATCTTTCAGGATATTACAAGGCTTAATTACTATTATTTTATTCTAATCAGGTTCTTCTACAGTCTCCATCTCCACAGTATCCTAATGACTTGCACAAGGTTATTAAGCAATGTGACTAGCATAATTACCTGTAGATTTTTCTGCTATTTTCCCCAGGGAAAACTGTGTGGTTTGTTTTGTGGGTTTTTGTTTGTTTGTTTGTTTGTTTTCTAAAAATAATTTGAATGTTTTTATATTAACAAAACCAAGGTTTGCTTATTTAATGCTAAAGTTAGTTTGTGGTCAAATTGGAGGAACTTTAGTGTAGAAGATGATTTCACAGAAAAAGCTACAGAATATTTACTGAATTATGAAGTGCACTGATTTATACAGATGGTTATCTGACTCATTTAAAAATGTTGAAAGTAGTGATCAGTCTACTGGGCAACCACTAGCTATCATAATTTTCTAGCTAGAAGTGGGTGTGAAATTTGGTCTCTCTGGAATGGTTTCATTAGCAGAAGACAGCCCCTCTCCATTGACCGTCCTATTTCCTCTGTAATGTCATTCCAGGAATGGTAATGATGTAACGGAGCAGAGGATGGAATTGGGACAAGAGAAGGAGTTTAGTGAAACTCAGGAAAGCACAGGTTTTGTCTTAAATGTCTTGATATACTGCCAGATATATGGTCAATAAAATAGAGAAACTGATCAACTGGTGTATGTGGGATCTGAGACCATTTATGTGTATGGCAGATCTTTGCTGGAATAGCAGTGGTGAGAACACCAGAAGTTTTGAAGGGTATATGCTCTTCAGACAGTGAAAGATGTGCCTTCAAACGTCTGCCTAAGTTGTTTTGGTGACATACAATTTTATTTCTTTTGACCTGTGTTGTCCTGGGTGTCATCAAGTAGTCACTGGATCAGCAGGAGAGAGATACCGATTTGGTTTTGTTGTGAATCCACTTTTCTGAATGGAGTGGTGATGTGGAGTTTGTTGATAAATTATCACAAATTGATGTGTTTAAATGTAATGGAAGGATGAAGAAAAATAGGTATTTTCTATTCCTATTTTTTATTTTCAAAGCAATGTTTGTTATGGCCCTAAAAATAAATATTTTTCCTTGTTTAAAGTAAGAATTTACTTTATGAGTACAAATGTACCGAACACAAGGGGTGAAGATAAAATGAGTAATAAGAATGAGGTTATGAAAAAAGGGACCAATATTGGGGTAGAAATAAAATTAATTTATTCAACATGCACATGTGAAGATGCAGGCATACTAAACAGTGGAATGACTGTAAATATTTTTAAGTCATTCAAGTCAAGGATGGTGCTGCTGTGACTGGAACATGACAAATGGAATATTTAATCCATTCTGAAGTCCTGTACATAATTTTCTGTAGGAAAGCAATTGAAAATTGAGGTGACATAAAATGCAGTCTAGTCTTACAAAGATGCTAGCAGATCAGCCTTGTTGTTTTGCACATCTTCATCTAAAAATTAGGTAGCTTTGTGTATTTAAACCAAATCCCCTGTGGAGGTGCAGCACCACAAGGAAAATCTCTGGCTTTGCTAATGGAAGGAAGGAAGTGAGTAGAGAAGTTAGTGTGGAGTGAATAAGGAATCATCTTGCAGGGTTGATTTTTTCAAGTAATGGTTTTAGGACTGATACACCTCAGCATTTTCAGTAGTGTTTTTAGCCCAGAATGTGGGTCAGCTCTTAGTAGACTTTTGAAATATTGCAAATAATTAGGATAATCAGAGCACAAGATAACAAGAAATTATGATGACCCTCTGGAGTAGATAAAATAAATAATTTGAAATAGAATGATATACTATGAAAATTTGTGCACCTTAGGATAGATTACACACCAGTGAAAATCTATTGAGAGTTTATCAGTTCAGAAGCAGTAGAGGGGGAGGAGGAGGATCTGGGTGTTTTATCTGAAAAAGGGGTGGGAGGTTGAGCTGCTGCTGAAGCACAACTCTGAGAAAGGCTGTTGTGGTCTTTTGTGGTACGGTCATTAATAAGAAATACTCATGTATCTCTATAATGAGACCTTGTATGGTATATTGTGTACTTTCTGTCCATATTCACTTAAGAAATAAGAATTCAACCAGGAATGGGTCCAGAGAAGATCCAGTGAGGTAACGTAGATGCTAGAGATGTCTTGGGAGGAGCAAAGTAACAGCAAGATTTCCTTAGTCTATTGAAGTTAGTGCTGAAAAGGCATCCAGTTACTTATGTTTCTGAAAACATTCCAGCAGAATAGATGCTAAAGAGGGGCGAAGTATTTGGCTAAAAGAAAATGTATAGATTGATGATTAATAGATTTAGCTGAAAATTAGAAGGGAGAATCTTGAGGAACCCCTCAGTGGAGCAGCAAGAACAAAGTCCTGTTTGGGACAAAAAAGCTTTGGTTGCCCTGAGACGAAAGGGAATTAGCAAATGTTGTGGCTGTAGGATGCAGAGTGGCTGGCCATTCATATGTGCCCTGAGAGTGGTACTTGGCAGGGCATATTATTAAAATTTCTCATCATGAAAGGGCTTCTTTTGAAGAGTTTCAATAATCTATGGAAAGCAGACATCACGTCAACTGAATTTTTGCTACCTCTCTTTGCCCCTTATCAATCTCTTCCTTTCTTCATGTCATTCTGTCAGTTTCTATGAAAGATAGATACTCCCTGAATTGTTCTAGGTTCTACAGAAAGAACATAGTTTTTGCTGTACCTTACATCTTGGTGTGACTATTTTTCTCCCCTTCTTTGGTGTAGTAGAGAAAAAGGGCTGAACCTATACTTTTTAACCCCATTGAGTATCTTGCTTATGCCTTGAAGATTTCTGATCTACAGTCAAGTTCAGTACATATTAAAACTACCATAAAAATTTGAGGAAGAGGCTTTTTCTTGCATAACTTCATGCCTGTTGTGAAGGAGGGTGGAGGTTTGATGGCAGGTGGCAGCTACCATTGCGCTGCCCAGTTAAGCATAAAGCAGAGAGATAATAGTGTGCCTGATCCAAAGTCAGTGTTCACATGGAGGTTTCTCATCTGGCAACCCAGTGTGTTTCTCTAGTCTGACAGAAAGTGTGACTAGCACGTAAATACCTTCCTGTGTTGGGTGCAGGTGCCCAGGTGCTGGGGGGCTGCAGGGCAGCCTCTGTGAGGAGAGGCTGGGGCTGCTCCATGCTGGACACAGCCAGCATCAACCCACCCCGGGGCACGGCTGAGCTCCTCGGCTAAGATGGTGGTGCCTCAGTAATAATGTATTTGAGAAACAGTAAAAAGTGCTATGCGGCAACTGAGACAGAGAGGAGTGAGGAAAAATAAGAGAGAAACGGCCCTGCGGACTCCAGGGTCACTGAGGGAGGAGATGCTCCATGCTCCAGAGTGGAGACTCCCTGCAGCCCCTGGGGAGGACCATGCTGGAGCTGGGGGATATTCCTGAAGGAGCTCCAGCCTGTGGAGAATGTCCATGCTGAAGCAGCAGAAAGCATGAGGTGGAAGGAGCAGCAGAGAGGAACTGTTATGAGCTGGTCACGACCCCCCATTTCCCACCCCCCTGTGCTGCTCAGGGCAGGGGGAAGGCAGAGGTGGGAGTGAAGCTGTGCCTGGGGAGAAGGGAGCAGGGGGGAAGGTGCTTTATTCTACCTTTGTTTCTCACCATCAGAACCTATTTTAATTGTCAATAAATCCCATTAATTTTCCCCAAATCAAGCCTGTTTTGCCTGTGATGATAAATATTAGGCAATCTCCGTGTCCTTATGTTGACCCCATCACCTTTTCCATCTTATTTTCTCCACCTGTCCTGTTGAGGAGGGGGAGTGAGAGAGCAGCTGTGTGGGGGTCTGGCAGCTGGGCATGGCCAACTCACCCTTAGGGCTTTGTGGTTTTAGACATATCCACAGGCTACACAGGTATCTCTTGCAAGCTTTTTTGTATAAGTTCTTCAGTGTTTATGCTATTTGTAGGTTTAAAAATCTATTAGTGTACTGCTGTATTTGTCAAGTAACTTTTTTGTGTATTTTTACTTTTTCTGCTGATTAAGCTGTGTGTTGCTTTTTAACTGATGCGTGAAATAAGTTCTTTACAGTGCTAACATTTCTTAATGATGATTAGTCTATACAGCAAATGGTTTTAGATCAGGAGTTCTAAGAAACAATCTTCTTAAATGAAAAAAAAAAAAATGTGGGCAGAATGTTTGATTTCGGAACTGTTATCCTGCCATTATAAACAACAATTTGCAGTAAGGAGTTTTTTGTTTTGTTTAGAGTCCTTTTAGAAGGAGCTATTTTTATTGGTTTGGATGAATCAGAAGATTGATAAAAGAGGGTGTAAAGCCTTTCAATTAGATTGCTTTGGTTAAAACTCAGTCCCAGGTGGAAGAGACTAAGTATTGTTTACTGTCTTGTGGTTGCTTAGTGATAATTGTGCAATAAATTAAGCTTCAGTCCAGATCTCATAGCTGCATGGTGCCCTGTGCAGTTGGTAAAGTGCACTTGTTAACAAGTTTTAGTAAAGGCCAAGGGCAGACTAAACTTGGAAACATCATGCTTCATCTAAGGTGGTGGTTGAAGGACTTTGGCAGAGTACTGTGGGGAAGTCTACTCAGTTTCTGCTTGTGTACTGTTTGTTAAGAAGGTATTGGTCAAGGTTGTCCATTTATCTAAATGCAGTGGCTTTGCTGTGGAGTGGAATTGTTTGAGACATTTGGAAAATGCTTAAATTTATTCAGTTCAACTTAGTAATAAACGGAATAAGAATAGAAACTCCCAGAAAGGTTTCTGTGACTTACCTGTGGGTTCTCATTTCTTTTACTGTAATGATTTCTGTTAATCAAAGTAGTTGCAAACCGTACAGCACATTTTAACTTTGATTAATTTTACAATTATATTACCAACTCAGAAATTATTTTATTTCATGTTACATGCTTAATGTTGTGTTGATTCAGTAATTTTCTTTTTTCTTTCCTAGTATTCATGTGATGGCAAATTTAATTGCAGTACATGTCACCGATACAGTTTTATTTGTGTTCCATATCATCCAGTAAGACAGACTTACTTATTCATTAGGTGCATAAATTGGGTAGCAGAAGCAGCTAATGCTGAAATGTTGTTTTTTTTTTTTTTAAATTTTTGCTCTGCTGGTTTTCATATAATTTTTGTTTTCATTTCAGATCTTGAAGGTTGAATATGAGCTGGCATATCATGCTGTTTTTCAAGTAATTCTGGGACTATTGATTGTTAGCCAGTCCTGAAAACTTCCCAAGCTGAAGTCTAATTTTGGGTTCCTAGTTCTGAGGAAAATTTAAAAGTTTTTGCAGATGTTTCCTTCTTTATTACTTCCACAAGAATATCCTCTAACAGGCAGTGGGTAAGATTCCCATTTGCTCAACATTTTCCATTGCCTGGCTTTCTAAGAAGGTGGCTTCTTTAAGTCCATTGATGCTGGGTTTTGACACTGTTCTCAACAGACCTTTCTTAATACATTACGCAGCCTAGCTTTCTAACTTAAAACAACCCCTGTAAATTAGTTCTTAAAGGATGTCAAAGAGAGCTTGTTAACTACCATTCATTATGGTGGTTGCTACCATAGTCTGCAGATACAGTTACTTCTCAAGCAACAGCACTTAAAGCTGGCACTGTAGCTGTGCACAGCTCACTACAGCAGGTGCCAAGCTGATGTGTGTGATGCATTCCTCATAGCACTTCCTCATGTTTTATCGGTCTATTAAAATGGAAAAGTATCCAACTGAACTCCCTTAGTAATAGCATTTGCAATTCTATATCCACCTCTCTCCCTCTTTCTCTTCTTGTGTGTCATGTGCCGTGTTCCGATTCTTTGATCCCAACTGCTGTTTGGACAAGCATCTGAAAAGTTGTACTGTTTTATTTTTATTAAGGATAATTTGTTGGTAACCATAGGTGTCACTTTGGGAAAAACTTACCCTCATTTAATGAGCTGGATCCAGGGGGAGATCACTGAGCTGTATTGTAGTGTTATGGACTCTACTTAAAATTGTTTAGCTTTTATTAATTAACAATTTTCTGCAAATAGAGAAGCAACACTCTTAAAGTGCAAACTAACTTGCCTGTGTATTACAAATTAATATGATTATCCCTCTGCCCATTCACCTTCTACCACATGGAGAAAAAATGTGGGATGAAGGCATGGTCTAAGCAAGTGTCTGCCTTGGTGGTTCGGTGTCCCTTGTTGGTGGGTGATGCTAGCAGAAGAGCTCCATCCGCCACCTTTGTGCCATTCATTGCCACACAGGGGGGACTTCGACCTACTCCCTGTTGTTATGATTTCCCTGTTGGGAAACGCAGATCTTGGTGCAAGGGGATCTCCTACAGAGGGTACTCTGAGGGGGGCAGACTGGGGACCCTGGGCTATGCACAGCAGCAAATCACTGCTAAAAAAAAGTAGGAAACAGTTTCCTGTGCCAAAGTGGTGCCTCAAAGGTTTCAGTGAGGGAGGTGTTGTGGTGGCATATGACTTTGAAGGGCCTTATTTGCTATCTTTTAGGAGTAAGCAGAAAAACTTGCTATTCGGTAGCCAGGAGTTGGTGTTTCCCTTTATAGATTTTTTTTTTTTCTTTTTGAGAGCTTAATGACTATTTAGATGTTTTTGTGATTTCAGGGAAGCTGAAGAGGGCTTTAAGTTCTTCTTTCACCTTAAATATTTTGATATTAGTTTCTTAACATCTAATTGATATAAATTATGAAATTCTGAGTTTTATGCAAATGTTATTATTGATTTTCTCTCCCACATCTTAAATCCATGTGACTTTTAAAGTTAAGAGCTGGCTGCATAGATCCACATGAATTTACCATGCTTTCCTACTAGGCTGAGCATTATTAATGAGTTACACCTTGCTGTGTAGTAGCACCACACTGATTAAATGTATTGGTAAAATGAGAGCTGCTTATAGCAAGTCAGTCCTGCAACCTGTGCTTAGTGTTAATTCCTCTAAATGTAAAAATTACAGTTTGATTCTCTTAAATGAGAAATGGACCCATTATATGTTTATCTGTAGTCTTTCTTTCATATTTTAAATTGGAAATAAAGCTAGTCTTTTTAAAAAACCTAATATTATTAACCAGCATAGCTGGTCAAATTAAATGCTGTGGAAGAACATTGGTGAGAATTTTGTCATAGCAAATAAAAATGAAGAAAACTTGCAGTACTGAAGTACTTACAGTTTTTCTGTGTTTAGTATGGACTTGGAAAGTCTAGTTGGCAGAAGTAGCAGTGGGCTACAATATAGAAACAGTAGGTTTAGATCATGGAAAGTGTCAAACGTGTATGTAAGCTTCTGCTAAATTTTACAAAGCAAATGGCAAGACAGTAATGGCTGGGGCAGAGCCTAGTTGGACAGTGCCTGGTGTAAGTTATATTTTTTCCTCTCTAAACAGGTTTTCACCTTTCTTCAATTTTTAATGTTTTCCTCCTTGTACAGTGGAGAAAATGAGTTTAAGTTGTAAAGGTTGACTGTATACAAATGTACCCACCTAAGGTACTGATGTCTAAAGTAGTTTATTAACAGTCCATATGGAATATTACATATTTGATAATTGACATGGATCTAGTCTAGAAACTATATAAATGGCAGTGTTGGTGTCCTATGTTACAATGGGCTTTGGCTGCTTTATCTTGTATAATCTGACTTTTTTTTTTTTTTTTTTAATGTAGCGGTATTTTCTCGTTGGAAGTAATCCTGCAGAAACCAAATACCGTGTCTTGAAAATAGATCGCACTGAACCAAAGGATTTGGTTATAATTGATGATAAGGTAAGTGCCTCTCTCTTTACAGATTTTTTCAGTTATTCCGAATAATGCTGTCTATATTGAGCTGAATTTAAATATTACAGATTTAGTCTGTTTCAGCAAAGGTATGTTACAGAACCAGAGAGTCATATAACAGCTGAGTTTGGAGGGGATCTTTGGAGATTGTCTAGTCCTATACCTGTGCTCAGATCAGGTTGCTGAGGGCTGTGCCCAGTTGCGTTTTGGATATGGATGGAGACGCCACGTCTCTGGGTAACCTGTTCCAGTGTTCAACTATCCTCATAGGATCAAAAACCCTCTTCTTATGTTCAAATGGAATTTCCTGTATTTCAGTTTGTGCCCATTGCCTCTTGTCCTTTCACTGTGTACCACTGAGAAGAGTCTGCCTCAGACATCTTTATTCCTTCTACCAAATATTTATACACATCGATAAAATCCCCTTGGAGCTTTGTTTTTTGCAGGCTGATCAATCCCAACTCTCTCAGCCTCTCATATGTCAGATGCATATGGTATCAGCATGATAATGACTAGTTATATTATGGGCATGGCCACAAGATCTCCAAACAGCACGTTCACTTTAATGAAAATTTCCCAAGTTACTCAGTTTATTATGTATATACTCCCAATGGTTTTATTATGTTCATCTGTGAAACTCAGTTAAAGTTATGTTTCAGCTGTGAAATAGTAAGTGCAAATTACATTTAATTACTATTTAGCCAAATTTTTAATGTTTCTGATATATCTGAAGCAAAATAAATAGCATCAACAAGAGTTTTAATGTACACGTTGGAATAAGACGATTCCTTTCCACAAGTTTATGGTTTAAAATCTTAACACTTAAGATATGTTTGAATTCACATGTGACCATGACTATTGCAGTGAATGGTGAATTTTATGTGTAAAAACTTGTAGTTGTTGGTAGGACTGAGCCAGGAGACAGAGGATATAGAGCAGATGTTTGGTTTATTGCATATTAAGTAAATTCTACTATTCTCTGACATGAAATAACATTTAACTACCAAAGCAGTAACTTAAGTGATTTTTTTATTTTAAAGCATGTGTATACGCAACAAGAGGTGAGGGAACTTCTTGGCCGTTTAGACCTGGGCAATAGAACAAAGATTGGGCAGAAGGGCTCTTCTGGGTTATCTCGAGCTGTCTCTGCTTTTGGTGTAGTAGGTAAGTGTTTTGTTTGGTTTTATAAAATCTGTTATTTCTTAAGGAGGTGAGGTGTACTCTGTCACCCTGTATATCTTGCTGCCCCCTCCCCCC